CCAATAAGCTTGATCTGAATAAGTAGTGACTCTGGTAAAAACGTTTTCCAATTACTCTTTGAAAGGGAAAAAACTGACATCGCTGGAGACCTTTTACGTCTGCTGGCCAACTTGGTAGTTTGTGTGAGGCGCTTACGCGAGTGTCACCAATATATATAATGAATATTCTTTTTAAGGACGAGAGCAGGCTGAACTGACTGGACACAGGCTGGCGAGTTTGGGATTAAAATTTGATCAGATTATCCACTCCTCCATGACTAGAGCAACTGAAACAACTGAAATTATAAGTAAACATCTCCCAGGTAAGTGACTTCCCTTAATTTTTTCATTGTCGTCTGATCCTTAAAACTGCTTCCAGTAGCCTTCTAGTCTTGACCTTAAAGTTGAGGTGTTATTTAGCCAACTTCTAGCCCTGTGTGAATATGTCTGTATTTATAAAGAAACTAAAACCCCTAATTTTGCTTGTTTCCAGTTCATCTTTAAAAATATGAGGGACCTGCCCCTCTGAGTGACTAGCTGCTGCCTGTGTGGCAGAACTCGGCTGGTTGCTTTTCACTTACACGCTTTTGTAAAGCAGAGACTGTCACAGGTCGTCAGGGTTGGTGCAGGCCTCGGTCTCGGGGCAGTAGTGCAGGAGAGAAGAGGGCCATGAACTCCAGTTCTTGTACTGGTGCTTGCTGGGTTAGTTAACAGGCCCTGCATGTGCGCTGTGCCGCCCTGGGTGCGGGGGAAGCTGTGGCACACTCACAAGGGTGTGGGGACTTTTTAACAGGGGTGCGTGATTGTTTTGTCTGTACGGGTTTTTGGGTGGTTGTGTTTGGGGGTTTTGGGGGGTGGTGGGATGGTGTGTTGGTTGTTTGCTTTGGTTGTTTTTTGTTTGTTTGTTTGTTTGTTTTTTCCTGATATTCAGACATATTAGAATCTAAACTAAAGATATTTGGCTGTAGATAATTGTCTGGTAATTTAGCAGATAATCAGGTATGACAAGGTGAAAGTCAGTTCTTTTAACCATTCTGCTGCTTCAAAAAAAACCCCAAACCAACAAAACTAAACCACCACCCCCCAACCCCCAAAACAAAGGGAAAAAACCCCCAAAACCATCTTTCCTTCCTCAGAGTAAGGATTAAAATATTACTATAAATATTAAATGTATAAAATGTAGTGTTAACATTAATTCCATTAATGAGCAGTAAGCATTAACTGACATAGAGCTTTAGATTAACACCTTGCAAGTGCTTTTCTTCCAAGTGCAGCAGCCTGGGAGGACTCAGCTTGCCGTGCCCGGCTGGTCTGGCTGTTCTCCGTTGGAATGAGCTTCATGGTGCTGACAACAAAACAGTTGTGTTGGAGATTCACACACCCTGACAGGAAGTGTGTGGGCTCAACTGGTCTTTAGGTTGGAGAGGAAGAATTCTGTGAAGAAAGACTATGGAAAATGTATTGGTTGTAGAGTTGTGGGCTTGTTTGCAGTGGTGTGTGAAGTAACAACCCCTTTCTGAATGTGTATTTAATATTTCAGGAGTCAAAAAAATTAGTACTGATCTGCTGAGAGAGGGAGCACCTATAGAACCAGACCCTCCAGTCTCTCACTGGAAACCAGAAGCTGTGGTAACTTTTTACTTAAGTTTTTGTTTTTTCTTGTTATGTTTTGGGGTTTTTTATAAATAGCATACTTAATATTGACAGTAGCAATAACTTTCAGTGTCTGAGCTGATGCTTTTCACCTAGACCTTAGACAATTGCATACTTTCCTCCTCCCCAGTAAGTGCACAGAACAGTTAAAGTAACTCGCCATCCTCAAGTTTTAGTTCAGGCTCAAGTGTGCGTCCCTGTGAAGAAGACGACACAGCGCATCTGCAAGTGCAGACACTGGCACGTGCTGCTCTGAGCTGTGGTTAACTCTGAACTCTGTGCCATTAGCAGTATTATGAAGATGGAGCTCGAATTGAGGCTGCTTTTCGAAACTTCATTCATAGAGCTGATGCAAAGCAGGAAGAAGACAGCTACGAGATCTTTGTCTGCCACGCCAACGTGATCCGCTACATTGTGTGCAGGTACGTGCTGGACGGCGTGTTCTCCTGCGTCCTTTAGAAGGTCGTAGTCCCACTGAGATAGTGCTGGTGTATGGCAGCGCTGAGCTGGGAGGTGTGTTGATCTGGCTCGTTTGGAAGTGGTTGGAGATCAGTGCCTGCATTGTGAGCAGCTGCTTCTGCAACTTCATTGCAGGATTAATTTGCAGATACACGACACATTTGAAAATGAGAGCACTTGCATTCTAATTCTGAAGTGAAAATTGCTCATTGGTGAGACTCGAAACCTTTTTTTTGTATGTCTGAACACACTCTAATACCATATGCTTCTGCTGCCCATAAACCTGAGGACAATGCCTGTGTGGACTGTTGGAAAAGACAACAAATAGAGCATCTGACTGGATGCGTCTTCTTGAGGTGACGTGAATTCGATCTTGCATAATGAAAGATTGATTTAGTTTAGGGAATTCTTTACTAATGGAAGTTTTTGTATTATGTTCAAGTTGTATTAGTGTGGTTTTGCTGTACCATCCCATATTGGATTAGAGGGGAGAGTGGATCTTTCTGCTGACATCAAGGTTGTTCACGAAGGAGAGAACAGTTCTGGATCTCTGTCTCTGTATCCAGTCAGCTGAGTCTGTTCTATTCCTCTTCCCTATCAACAAAGCACCGTCTGCAAGATAAATTGTCTTGAGCAGGACAGATGTGATTAAACTTTAATCTGATCAATACCTACAACAATTTCAGTTAGCTTTATTTAGCTGATCTAGTTAAGTGCTAGCCTGTCTGCTCTGTGGACTGCTTTAGAGCTCTTCAAAACTGCTATACTTAAAATTATCGATCAGGTAAATGGAATATTCTTTCCTGTGCCAGAAAAAAAGATTGTCTTGCTGTTGCCTGTAGGCGTCTTCTGAAATACTTGTGTACTTTTTCTCTCTTCAGTGTTTCTTCCCTCCTCTTTTTAAACTCTCTTCTGTGCCTTCCACTCCAGGCTATCTGGTACCACAATTGAACACAATCCATGTAGCGTTCCCTTTCAATCCAGCTTGGCTGTAGCTGTTATTTAATTTCTTAGCCCTTCTAAAAGGCTGTCATAGGAGCCAAAACCAAGTTATTCCTCAGTATCTGAGGCAAAAGAGGTTTGAGACGGTATTTTTTTCAAACTGTTTATTACAATTGATTGAACTCCTGAGGCTGTTTGGTTGGGAAGTTTAGAATAGCTGGAGACTAGCTGAGATACTGTGTTTCCACAAAAAGCGCAAGGCGCTTTTTCTTGCCACTTCTGGGGCACAGTGTGGCTGATGGGGAGCGGCTCTGGTCCATTTTTTCCATAGGCACATGTGGGCAAGTAGAATGGATCCCGTCTATCTCGCTGCCCCTTCTGTGCTGTTGCTACCGTGGTATACCCATGGTGGTAAGGCTAAAATAGCGCGTAAAAGTGTGCCGTTTGCCACTTACGCCTCTGCTCCGGTGAGGAAGACGCGGCGGGGGGGGGCGTGGGTGGGTGTGGGTGTGAACCATCTTCTCTGTCCTGAAGCGCACAGGGTTGTGTGGTGCTGCAGTGGGCGCAGTGACCAGCTGGAACCAGGCCATCTGTTGTCTCCTGTTTGTTAGGCGGTTGCTCGGTGCGCTTCCAGCAACCGGCCTGATGTTAGAGCTCCTACCTGCTGTCGATTTGAATTAATCCTGTCTGCAATAATCATACCCATCTGCTGGCCTCTGCTTATGCAAGGGCACTGCTGGCACTGGTCCAGTTACCAACGCTGCGGGTTGGTATCTGTCACACAAGAACACTGTTTTTCCCAAGGCTGACTGGCTGTGGGGGTGTTTGCATGCCAGCTGCAGAATGACCAACCCTTTTCTTTCTTCCCCTTACCTGGAACAGAAGGTTATGCTGTGAGGGCATGTCAGTGTAACTGTTCAGTAATTTTTTTTTTTATTTCAATAGGGCATTGCAGTTCCCCCCAGAAGGCTGGCTGCGAATGTCTCTTAACAATGGCAGTATAACTCACTTGGTGATACGTCCCAATGGAAGAGTGGCACTTCGAACACTGGGTGACACAGGTTTCATGCCTCCAGACAAAATCACGCGCACCTGAATAAGCAAAACTGATGGCTGTCCAGCAGCTGCCTCTAGTCTCGTTGCACTAGTACATTCAGCTACGGTACCACTAGATTTTTATCTGTTATGTTGGGGTGTGATGCTGTTTTAAAGATGTCCTTTAGCCCCTCGCCTCCTTCATACATATTCATATCTGCCTTTCAGTTCAGAGGAGAAAAAAGATCTTTCTAAGCTTGAAGCTGTCCAGTCCTCAAGTATCCCCCAAAAGGCAAAGCTGAGCTGTGGAATACACCGAGATTGAATGTCTGTGCTCAGCTGTTGCAAGAGCACTGACTTTTCCCCCACCCATTTCTGTAACCAAAGCTTGCTCCTGTGGAGATCTTTCTTGTGCAGGAAAGCAGTTGGTGTGGGAACTGGAAGGAACAGCCTTGTATCACACGGCAGCTGAAGCTGAAGACAAGCCAGCTTGTTTCAACTCGTGCAGCAGTGACAAACAGCGTAGCCTGCTGTTCAAAGGACAAAGGGATAAGGCTTCAGTTTTCGGAAGCGGTTGGGGATGTATGTTTTTGTTATGTCATTGTTCCCCTCTGCCCCCAAAAAAGCTCATGCAAACTGTGCCTGGAGGTTGTTAGCGTAAAGCAAGGAGAGTAAAAAACCCATTTGCCTCAGCACTGTGGTGCTAGAATTAACTGCTGCTTATCCTAAGTGTTCCTCCATCCTCGGGCAGTACTTTATAAAAGCCTTTAACTAAAACGTGGTCTGGAGAAGGATGTAGTCATGAGTTTGTAGCAGTACAATGGAAGGAAAGCAGTGAGCTTCTGAAAGTGCTTCCAGTTGCTGACTCTCACATTATTTTTTTTTAAAGTGCTTTCTGCCATTGATTTGTATTTGTTGCTACCTTGCTTTCAGAGCAGAGAAAAAACACACTGAGTTCAAGGTAGCAATAGGTCAGATTCTGCTGTATTGGAGCAAACTGCTGCATAAAACTACTCTTGCCTGACCAGTGAGAAAGTATCTGTGGGCTGGCTTTTCCAGGCCAAGTGCACAGTACAGCCGGTGGGCAGAACGCTGCAAGTGGCTCCTCTGTACGGCAGTGCTGGCCTTGTTCCTAGGGAAAATGCAGGTGGCCGAGAACTAGGTTTCATTTTTGAGGGGAGGACGCAGGAGCATTTAATCTTAAGGGTGTCTGATAGGCACTGAACTGGTGCAGTAACTTGGCTCAATACCTGGAATGTTGAAAAACTTCACCGTATGCACAGTCTTGCCCATACTAGAGGACAGCAAACAGAACCAACTTGTTTGACAGGTTCTCGTATCACCAAGTGTTGAGGAGACCCTAAACTCACTCCTGTCAGAGCTGTATGAAGCACAACCATGGCACACAACCTAGCGGGACAAGGCCTAAGGGCTTGTTTGATAGAGGACTGCTACTTCAGGATGATTCTAAGGAAACGGGCTGTTGTGTAGTGCAAGTTGTGGGGGCAAGAGGAAACCATCATGATGTGTATCTCATTGATGCAATGAGAATAATTTATCAGTTTTTGTCTATTAACTTTTTAAAGTTTTGAATAAAATAACTGGCCTGTCTGTCTTGTCTCTTCAGTTGAATAGTTGTATGAATGACCCTCTCCTGTAGAACAGACAGCTGAAGTGCTGCAGACAGACTCTGGGTGTTTCTGCCAGCTGAGCAGCCTTTGTATCCCACAGCGCCTGGGGCAACAATTCAGTTACCCCTTTACCTCCAAATAGCTGAGCGCCACACCTGAGCCAGGAGCTAGCTCAGCCTTCCTCATCATCCTCAGCAGCCACTACAGCAACCTCTGTGCCAGCACTGTGCACCCAAGAGGGACTGCAGGAGTCCAGGCGTAGGGCTGTGTCACTGCCACACGGAACAGGAGCACCAACGCGAGCGAGATGAAAATTCTGTGCATTTTTTATTTGTGTGTGTGCGTACACATACCCTCTCACATCCATACCCTTCTGTACCCCCCACGCTCATCAACAGGTCCTTGGTGGGCAGCCAGAGGCCACGCGACACCTCTTTGCACATGTACAGAAATTAACATTTTCAGTGGCACATAATTTTAAATTTCATTCTTTCCCCCGACAACTTAAGTACATAGTTTTTACAGTATTCTGGCCTCCTGTTTCTTAAACAGTCTGAGACTATTCAAGTCTTCAGTGGCATAATCCAATGTCACTGTGCACGCACACACAGTGTTAGTAAGGCCTGGGCAAATCAGTGATTTGCCATGTCATGTTATCACCTCAGCTACTTACCACTGTGCCCCTTACGCTAAATACAGTGTGACACTTTAGCTACTCATTTACTAGAACACGGGGTGACTGGATTTTTAACATGACACTTGGCTAATGAAAAAAAAAAGCCCACAACTAAACTTTGGGCCAAGAAAACACAATTCAAGCAGTTTCAATCTGATTTTAAAGTGTCTCCACAATCGTGAATGACCAAATCGCTACATCGATTGCTATTTTTTTTAACAGCTGAAGTAAATATATTGTTAGGAAAAACAGCCTTGTCAGCTGCAGTACAACTGGACTAATGCACATTATATAACACAGTTAAAAAAATTCTCTTCACCAAACCAAAGTTGTAACATGAAAAGGGAAGGGTTGGGGGGGTGTGGGGGGTGTGTGTGAGGTGTGGCTGGCTGGCTACATGAATATACCGGTAATAGACATTAAATATTACAAATAGAAAGCAAAGTATAACAAAGGTAAGAAAGGACAAAAAGGAAGAAGCGCTCGAGTGTTAGTATCAGTTTCCCGGCTCTGTAACAAACTCTTCTCAGAAGGTCAGCGGCACCTTAGGACAGCTCAAGAAGGACCAAGGTGGACAACAGCAGCTGCACGTGCAGCAACTTACCAAGGAATTTGGCTTTAACAGTATTAGGCAGTTACTCATCATCTGAATAGTTTCTCCGGAATGACAAAGACAACATTTACATTTAATTATTAAAAAAAACAGAACTAAACTAAAAAAAAACAAAACAAAAAACCCCAAACCTTTTAAAGTAAAAACTGTAGGAATCTGGGACCTAAAAAAGTTGTTTGAGACCAGAGAGACCGCTGCATCAAAAACCTTATGAAAAAGTCAGTTCATATACTTGGTAACATAGCACATTATGTTTGGTTTTTGTTTTTGCTTTTTTAAATTTCTCTTAAAAAAATGACACCCCCTACCCACCCCACAACCCCCAGCTAGTTGTCTGGAATATCACTGAACGACAGTCACTTGTGTGAAGTAGCACTTTCTAATGGCCAGCTCATTGGAAATAGGCTTCATTACAAAGAAAGAGCTAAATAAGCCTTTTTTTTTAAGAATAATTTCTAAAATAGGAATGCTCTCCCCCAGCAGAGAGCTAGCGCACCAAATAAACTTAGAGAGACATTAAAATACTTTCCCTTCAGAAAGCCCGGAAGAAAAACGGTGTTTTATGTGCCCATAGTAAGTGGATGCCACTTTTTTTTTTTTTTTTCAAACTTCTAAAAAAACAAAAATTTAATTTAAAAAAAAAAAAAAAATGTTACAAAAGGCACGATTAAGCTTGCAAAAGCATTAAGTAAGTGCAGGGTTTTTCTCGGGTTTGCACCAGAGCATGAACCTACGGAAGGGTGTACAGTTCGGGCAGCAACAGTCGCTCTGCCCTGTGCAGCAGCCACCGAGCCTCCCGAGCTGCGCCTGCCCCGTCCCGTCCCGTCTCCAGCCGCACACCGGGCTCGCAAGGCAGGGCCCTGCTTTCTCCCTCACCACGGGGCACCCGCAAAGCCAAACCCGTCCCTTCTCAGCAGCGCGGCCGTGGCAGATTTTAGTTTCCTGATCAGATGTACGCTGTAAGGACAGACAGGTTTGGTTTTTCTTAACTAGAGCGCGAGCAACGCTAGAGAACTCCCGTTCTGGAAGCCTTTCCAGCAACACTGCAACCATTGTTAAGCTTGATACGGGAAACTCGTGAGTTCTGGAAAGCATTCTTCAACCTCAGCATCGTACTGTCGAAACAAGTCATTCTCACAGAAGGCTAGAGAGTAAAATTACTGACTGCTGTAACAAAAACTCATTACCACATCAAGACTAGAGACATAGTAAAAGCTTAGATTTCAATAAAAATATTTTTAGTCCTTATTCCTCTCTCTTTACAGTTGGGAAATAAGGAGCCACATCACGGGCCACTGGCTAGCACTCTAATGTATTACAAACTAGACCATTAAGGTACGGTGCTGGTAAATTTGCTGAAGTTATTGCTGATGTGCTTTTGTGTAATAACTATTAAAATCTGCTAATGTTAAAAGCTTCTGTGGGGAAAAAAAAAACAGCTAATTTTTAGATAATTTTTTTTTAAATCTTCAAACTAACATTTAAAGGAATACCAGTAATTTCTATAGTGCCCCTTCACTGAAACAGTAGATCACGGTGGTTTTAACAGCCTCAGAACAAGCAAGGACTGGAGGTTTCTGTGTAAGACGTGCACACATACACATATATATGTAAGCGTGCGTGTGTATTCAACTGTCCAGACCAACGTGCCGGCCACGAACACTTACTTTCTGGTTACGCACAGGGTTTCACATCCACACGCGGCACTGGAAAGCTGCCTCGACCCAGGCTTTGTTTTAGGCTTTTCACTTTGAGCATTCCCCTTGCAAATGGAAGAGCATTTTACTTCTTGCCCTCAATTTCCTCTCACAAGACCATTTACTGATGATGTGCTTCCTCTAGACTACCCAAGAAAAGAAACGCAGCTGAGGGCTAACGGGTTCGTTACAATAATGACAACTGGTGATAGTAAAATACCACCATTTCTAAGTAGAGGTTCAGCTCACCGCTTTACTGGCAACAAGGGTTAATTCATAGCTACCAGACAACTGCACCGACTGTCACTAACTTCTTGCCTATCACCAGTAATCTATCTCATGGGTGGCATAAAGACATCTATTCAATTTTTTTTTTTTTTTTTTAACATATAGTTGTCCTCAACTGAGGAAAAATAAATAGCCAAGTACAAACCTCATGTCACTTTAGTAACATTGTAGTTTTTTCCTCCACTCTATCAATGAAAATACAACTGAAGTCCCAGGAAGATGAACCATATCTTAGTGGGCAGGAGGCTCTGAAAAATAACGCAGTTTTAACAGAGCGTGGTTGACACAAGCTGGACTGTAGCGCCCGGGACTCCCAGGGTCTGG